CCCAGCCAGCATGCTGGCTGGGGAATTCTGGGAATTGAAGTCTACACATCTTAAAAGTTGTCAAGGTTGAGAAACACTGGTTTGGAGTCTTTCTAGACAGAATGTTGCAGAATGCGTTGATTTAATTTTTAATTGGTCAGCCTTATTTGCAAGACCCAGGTCTTTGAAGAAGCAAAGCCAGAACATTCACAAGTTGAACACTAGACTGCGACTGTAATCTGTTATTAATTCATTTTATTTTAAGTCCCTTCAACTGACTTGATTCTACTCTTATGTAATCTCTACGGCTTTAATATGTGACTAATCGTCTAAAAAAAATCTTGGCAAAAGAATTAACAGTCTAGGAATGTTACATTGGGAAATACCCTGTTTTTAAGAGTTTTCTGGAAGAACCTGGAACATTGACTTGTTCAGCAACATGTGTTTTAGTTTAATTGCATTGTATAACGTTGTTAGCCCAAGGAGTGAAAAGCAGTGTACATGGGTTCATTGTCATCTTTACTGTCACAATCCCAGAAGAACTGTTGGTGTGAATGGCGTTAACTGCTGAGTGGTAAGATTTCTCTGAACACGGTCTCCCGTTTGCAGACCTTCGTTACCTGCGTAGATATATCTCCAGTGTTACAACCCAAGCTCAGAGAACTCCAACTCAACGCTCCAACCCTGAGCTATCTACGTTGTCTTCTGTTGCAAGATGTTAATTGACTCAAAGTCAGCCAGTCAGTTTTCCTGGGTATCCCCAGGCCAGGTTAATCATTGAAATCTTTAGTATTTGGTACGTGACATATTAGGGGGACACGATGGCGCAGCGGCTTAATGACACTGAAAGTTGCTGGCCAGAAATTGTCGACGCTTCAGCGGTTCGAGTCCAGCCTTCGTGCTAACAGGGTGAGCTCCTGTTTCCTCCCCAGTTCCTGTCAACCCAACAGTTCGAAGACTCACTTAAGTAGATAAATGGGTACTCTCACTCCTGTGGGAGGAAAAATGCTGGCGGCGCCTTGCAAAAAGGAGTCGGGAGCAGTTGCCGGTAAGGGCGGAAAACCGCCCGCACCCGAAAAGGGCGCGAAGCAACGGAAACCCCGCGTCCTGCACTCGCCAGCTGGGCTCTGCTCTAGGAAGGAGGCTCTG